CCATGTCCAAGGTGCAGAGGGCCCTATCGCACTGCTCAGCGGTCTTCTGAAAGGCTGCGTCTGCTCGCTCGGCTTCTTCTGCTCATTGGCGAGGCGCTTCTGTAGGTTATAGCTGGGGTAGCGCCGCCGCTGCCCCTGTCGCTTCCTTGACCGTTGCCAAGGAAGCTGCCGCGTCAGGGGAGTGGGCATATGCGAGTTGGCTCCCAGGGATTGCGAGGGTGGCCAGCGCTTCAAAAGCTCCTTGTAGAGGCTGCCAACCATGCCAGGAGCCCCACGCCCTGGAATCTTTAGGCTGGCGGCCATGACCTTTAAGCTTGCAGTCGCATTTCGTGCAAACATAATCGATGCTGTCGAGGGTGCCCGTGTACTCCCAGTACCCGCAAGCCTTGCACTCAATGTAAGGTCGGTGTTCTTCCAGGTCGATGCTGGTGGGTAGGCTAGTATGCTGCATCAGATAAGGATCCTTCTGGCTGGCCGCCTGCTGGATACTTTCTGCTGCCGTTTCCACGTACCGTCGATGCCCAGCTGGTGTCTGTCCGGTCGCCAGTCCACGCTGGAGCTTTGGGCCAACCTCAAGGAACAGAGCCGAGACGGAAAGGAGCCATCTGGCCAGCCTGCCCGACGTGTCAGGGTGGATCTGAAACACTGTCTGCTTGGAAGGGAGCCTACCCCGCTGAGGCAGCGGCCTCATCACCATTTCGGCCACGAGCCAAAATGGCTACGGAGGAGGAGGAGGAAGAAGAAGAAAAATAATTACCCTGCGACGCACCCAACCCACGCGCATCAAATGGCAAGAGGAGCATGCCAACATTAGCAGGAACAACGACAGTGTAGACGCGGCGATGTGCTGTGCAAGCTACATGGGACGCGCATGCGCTGCACGATTCACAGGACGACGATCGAAAGAACGAGGCTTGAGGCCCCAGGATCGAAGAAGAACGGGCACGGGAACGAGGGGTAGGAGAGGGATGGAATGGAGGGCGGGGGGGGCGAAAGGCCATCGCGGAAGCAGCAGCATGCATGGAGAAGGTGAGGCGGGGAATAGGACGACGATGAAAGTGGCGGGAGGAGACAGAAGACTGCCGCGTTTTTCAAGTGCGAGCTAAACCCGCAGCGCTGCCTGCGCCATGTCGTCGCAGAGTTCCACATGATAAAACTTGTTTAGAGTGCAAGGACCGAGCGAGGCGTAGCTCGCCCGTTAGCTTATCCGCCTCCTTCCCGCACATTTCAGCGCGGGAGCTGAACGCTCGCAGGCGCGCCGCCAGGTCTGCGGGCGGCCCGCGGGAAAGAAACTCAAGGCCGGGGTCGCGCATCATCAATCGGTTGTCCATCGTCCAAAGTTGCACTGGCGACGTACTGGTTGAACGCGGAGCGAGCAGCATCACGCGCGTGCCTGAACGCCACGCAGGTACAGTGCACGCGCGATTGGGACTTCAGGTCGATCACGCGCGTCTCCACCAGGCTTGGCAACGCCACGCGACTGAGGATCTCACTGCGGTCTGCCATGCTGCTGTCCGCGAATGCAATGCGCTGCCTGCAAGTAAGGCGGCGGCGTCCACTTGTCTCAGAAGATGTTCCCGCGGGCCCGAAGGGCGACCGCCAGCTCGAGCCGCGGCGCCGGCAGGCCAGATAAGGATCATGCAACAGCAAAGACGATGACAGAGCAACGAGGTATCGGCGAGTGCATGACCGGCCTCCGTTTCCTGCACTTCTTTCCTGTAGTTCCCCTAGCTCATCGAGCTCAGCAGATGTTTCTGCGGGTCCGAAGGACGACCGCCAGCTCGAGTCGCAGCGCCACGTGGCACGAACCGCAGAGCAAGGGCACGCGAGCATTGCTCGTGGTCAGAATCTGAGTCCCCGTGGTGCCTCACTCCGCTGGCCACCCACCAGCAGCCCTCGAAAGTGGCGACAGTTTCACAGATCGCAGCCGCCCAGGGGTGGCGAGGTCTAATCTGAGTCCCCGTGGTGCCTCACTCCGCTGGACCCACCAGCAGCCTCGAAAGTGGCGACAGTTTCACACAGGGATGGCGAGGTCTAATCTGAGTCCCCGTGGTGCCTCACTCCGCTGGACCCACCAGCAACCCTCGAAAGTGGCGACAGTTTCACAGATCGCAGCCCCCCAGAAATGGCGAGGTCTAATCTGAGTCCCCGTGGTGCCTCACTCCGCTGGACCCACCAGCAGCCCTCGAAAGTGGCGACAGTTTCACAGATCGCAGCCCCCCAGAGATGGCGAGGTCTAATCTGAGTCCCCGTGGTGCCTCACTCCGCTGGACCCAACAGCAGCCCTCGAAAGTGGTGACAGTTTCACAGATCGCAGCCCCCCCCCTGAGATGGCGAGGTCTAATCTGAGTCCCCGTGGTGCCTCACTCCGCTGGACCCACCAGCAGCCCTCGAAAGTGGCGACAGTTTCACAGATCGCAGCCCCCCCCCCAGGGATGGCGAGGTCTAATCTGAGTCCCCGTGGTGCCTCACTCCGCTGGACCCACCAGCAGCCCTCGAAAGTGGCGACAGTTTCAAAGATCGCAGCCCCTCCCGCAAGAGAAGAGAGGAGGAGGCGGGAGGAGGCGGGAAGGAAGGAAGGAAGGAAGGTGGAGACCGCTGTGCTCTATTCAAAACGAGTACCCAACGCAGGAGGGTTGGGGAGGGGGGGGGGGGGAAAAAAAACAAACAAAAAAAAAAAAAAAAACGAGAAATAAAGAAAAGAGGAGGGGGCGCTGCTGTCTCCTGCAAACACGATGGGCCCAGCGGTCGTCACCATTCTGTCCAGATCCCACGTTGCTTCACTGCCCTTCTCCATCGCAATCAACCAGCCCCTCAAGAGGGATGCTCAAGAGGAGGAGCTGGTCTCAAACGCCCCTCTACGAGAGGTTGTCAGTAATTCGTTTGGTGTGTCATGCAAGTCTTGATGTGGCCCGCCAAAATGCACGCCATGAATCCTCCGCCCTGCCTCACACTCGCCCTGTGGGAAAACACACGCACACAACAAGGCAAAAAGAAGCACGTGGAAAAAACAACACACACTGTGGACAACCACACACACACAGCCTGTGGAAACACACACACGCAAACACACGCGCGCACACCCACACACACACACACGCACACACACACACACACACACACACGCACACACACGGTGGACAAAAAAGCACACTGGGTGTGTGGTGTGTGTGTGTGTGGTGTGAGTGTGCTGTGTGTTATGTGTGTTGTGTGTGTTGTGTGTTGTGTGTTGTGTGTGTTGTGTGTGTGTCTGTGTGTGTGTGCGTGTATGTGTGTGTGTGCGTGTGCGTGTGCGTGTCCTTGTGCGTGTGCGTGTGCGTGTGCGTGTACGTGTGCGCGTGTGCGCGTGTGCGCGTGTGCGCGTGTGCGCGTGCGCGTGTGTGCGTGTGTGCGTGTGTGCGTGTGTGCGTGTGCGTGTGTGCGTGTGTGCGTGTGTGCGTGTGTGCGTGTGCGCGTGTGCGCGTGAATGCGTGTGCGTGTGTGTGTGTGTGTGTGTGTGTGCGCATGTGTGCGCGTGTGCGTGTGTGCGTGTGCGTGTGTGCGTGTGTGCGTGTGTGCGTTTGTGTGCGTGTGTGCGTGTGTCTGCGTGTGTGCGTGCGTGCGTGCGTGCGTGCGTGTGTGCCTGTGTGCCTGTGTGCGTGTGTGCGTGTGTGCATGTATGCGTGTGCATGTGTGCGTGTGTGCGTGTGTGTGTGCGTGTGTGCGTGTGTGTGTGTCTGTGTGTGTTATTCCACAATGTGTGTGTGTGTGTTTTCCACTGTGTGTTTGTGTGCTTGTGTGTTTGTTTTATTTTTCCATCCCTCCTCCTGCACCTGGCAGCGGGTGCGGTGCCCTCTCCAGCACCTGGGGGGTCCTCCGTAGCTGAGAAACTTTTCCGTCGGCGGCGAGGCAGAGTTGCCTGCACCAGCGATAGAGCTAGACGGGGGCACCCAAAAGCGAAGTGGCCAGCATGCAAGAAGTGGGAAAAGAGTGCAGAGCGGGCGGCCGCAGCTGAGAAGCACGCATCATACACACAGGCGGGCTCGGCCTGTCGTCGACTTTCAGGGGGCGCCCTCTCCTTCCGCGCGCCCCCCCCGAGGCTCGTGCAGAGCTGCCGGCCAGAGTCCCAGTGGAGCGCCACTGGCAGCTCGGCCCCTTCACGTGGTGCCGGGGCGCCAGCGGCCGCCTTGGCCCCGTCCTCGCCGGCCAGCTGGGCATCGTCCCAGGCCAGCCGTCGGAGGAAGCGCAGAGCAGCCCTGACGTGGAGCCATCCTGTCGATGGCAAAAAGGAAACACCACTTATGTGCTTAACGTGTTGATGTTTTTTTGAACTTTCTGTTATGCTCAATTTCTTTCCACCGCGCAAACATGGGAGCATCTTTTCTGCACCCTTTGTCCTGTCATCTGCTGGGCACGGCGCCGCGGGTCGTGCTCATTTATCCATCCTGGACAGAAGCTCTCCTCATACGCATTCCCAAAGACCAGGACCAATGAGATGTGGGAGAGCTCCAGTCGCCGATTTGTCGGCGCAGGCAGGGCGCAAGGGAAGCTGAATAGCATCATGGGCAACATGATTATGCAACAATCCCAGTCTGCCCCAACGAAGCAAGATTTGCTGCGTACTCAAGTCGACATCACGAAGGCCACACAAGCACATTAGAATGGAGGGGGGTGGAGCGGAGGGGAAAGAGAGGGGAGGGAAGCGCGACATCAAGGGGCCCACCCGAATCGAACAGCGCCCATCCCTAAGAGGCAGTGGTGCAATGGTGCAGCATCAGCGGGTTATTCAAAGACGCGGTGCGACATGATTTGACAGGACACACGCTTTTGACAGCATGTTATATTACTCAAGTCCAGCATCAAGGAAGAACAGAAGATGCCTGAATCGAGCCCGCCTATTCACGCAACCTCTGGTTTCTCCAGCGATCCCTGTGCCTCTGTCAAACGTGCAGCTCCCTCCAACGCGCATGCTCTATGACTCTACTGCTCGCGCTTTAGACATCACACGGTAGCACTGGAGCCTTCAGCTCTAGCCAGCCCATGTCCTCTGGTAGCCTCTCTATCTTCATGCGATACTTGCCCTGCACCTTGCCAGAATACTTGTTTCTTTGCATTAGACCACCCCTTGGGCACAAATCCACCATCTCAGGCAGTCTTCCTCAATCCTCTTACTCCAAGCAGCAGGACACTTCTTGAACATGGTCCCAGAAAAGGTGCACAGAACCACGCTGGTATTAGATGTCTCTCCCTCTACTCCAGGCACACCTCACACAGTATTTCCACGCTTCATTACCCTCCACCCTTGCCGACAATCCTCTCCCTGCATCTCCATAACCATCCGGTCCCTGCTTACGTCAAGACTTCAGCGTGGAGCCCACACGGAGAATTGTGCACCAAACCTGCGGCACGCGGTACACAATGCTCGGGCGGGAAAGCGCCTCGCGAAAGCGAAGGCAAGAACTAACCAAAGCCAGGTCGGGATAAATCAGGGATCTCTGAGAACTGGCGGCTCTGGAGGATTTATCTGGCGCCGCGGCCGTTCCAGAGCGTTCCATCCTTCCCCTTCCAATCCTCCTCCTCCGTTCTCTTCCTCCCCCCAGTGTTCCCCCAAGGGGTTCACAACGGCTGGGGGAGCACATGGTCCAGTAGCGCGGACAGACGTCGACCCAACGTTTGGCCGCATGGGCGTTTCCAAAAGGCAGGGGGCGGCGGTGATTCGCCGTAGGTGTCTTAGATGCACCACCACCACCAACAGCAGCAACGAACAATAAACTTCCGAATGCATCGATGCTGTAGTCGATAAGAGAGGGTAGCGCGACGGAGTGGGCATTCGAAAGAGCATGGAGAGAGAGGGAGGACACAGTATAACAAGTAGTATGATAGAGTAAGAACAGTCAGGATAGGAACTAATCAGTGGTAAAGGATATTGTAAAAAGAGAAGAGAAAAGCGACTGCATACTAAAGAGTAGGAGGTGGACTCTGGACAAGATCATACGTCTCATGTCAAATGATCAGTAAGATGTGAGTGTGAAGTAGGGAGTTGATGGAATAGAACAGTTTGTGTAGTGCATGTGAGGGCAGACTGTCTGTGCGCGCGAGTGCCAAACACTAACCTGCGAAGACCATGCAAGACAATCAGATCGTTCGAGACCTAGCGTGGACCAACACTCGGTGCACAAATACGAATCGAAGCCGTTACTGTGCCCAAGAAACGGAAATCTCTGCAGGGCGCGGAGCAAATGAATGGGCTGAGCCCGGGCCACAACGGAGGCTTCGAAAGCCTCGTTACTTGGATGAGCATGCTGGCCCGCCACCCGCTCTGAGCCGCGAAGGTCCTGGCACTGGCATGAACGAGGACAACCAGTTCATCAAGTAACGCCCGCTGTTGCGATGGTGGCCCAGGCAAGGATGGCGACGACACGTGCCAGGAAGCCGGAACACACAGCCGGTTGGCTTCACGTGTGGAACATACGGAGGCCACGCGCTGGATACACTTGCGGACATGCAGAGAGCAAGCGTACTGGCCATAAAGAGGGCCTCGCGCTGGAATGGCATCTGGCCGAATGTACATCCAGCTCTCGCCCAGGGGCCCGCGCCGTGTGTATCCAGCTCCCTGGCAAGTTCACACAGGAGGCAAGATTGCCCCCCGAACAGGGCAGACTCGAGGCCTTCCATATGTCCAGCGTACACGAGACGAGTGAGGGCCCACTGATGCGGCCCAAAAAAACGCAACGCAACTCTCCTTGGCGAAAAAACTCGGGTCGAAGGCGTTGGTGCTAAGGCCAGCGGCGAAGCCATCGAAGACGCCCCCAGCCCCCCAGCTAACACTAGAAACACCCAAGTACAGTCGGGGCACTGACCTAAGGAACCCTAAATAAGGAACGAGGCCCCTTTTTTCCATAAGTTGAACTTCGATGTCCCATGGGAAACCTCAGGAGAACCGAAGGGAAAAAGCAAGGAACACCGAGCCCCTCCCCAACGAAAAGGGTTCCTTCCTCAGTGCCCCGACTGTAGGAAGGTGACGGCTGAAATTTGCACATGTATGGGCACCCGCCCTCAGAACCACCCATGCACAAACGAAGAACATTCCGGATGCCAGGATCCGCCAGCGGAGAACGTCCCGGCAAAGTCAGTTCGGCTGCGGAGGGAAACGACCGAGAGATTTCGAGAAACATCACCAGCAGCGGTGTGTTCCAGGCCTGCATCAAGGCCTCGGAAATCGGCTGCAGATCAGTCAGGCACAGCACATGCAACATCTGAGTAAGGGGCACCCTGCTGCTTCATAGGTCGCCCCAGCCTGAGTCTTTTGCAAGCGCAGCGCCCAGTCTCGCGTACGGTTCGGTTCCTGGCAAAGCGGCGGCGTGCAGCTGCGGATGATGTCCTAGACTGGCGCTGCACTGGCAAGCCCTCTGGGCCCACCAATGCGCCATCCCGCCCCGCAGACAATCCCCTGGTGATTGTGCAGCATCTGATCTGCGGCGTCTGCGCCACCAGCTGAACCTCGGCGCGAACTCCCCGACGCTTCTGGGACAGATCGACACAGCGCTCCTGGCTGGCGACGCGACAACTCGCTCGCCGCTCCGGCGTGGATGCGCCGGGAGCTTGGCAGCGAACCTCCGGAGGCCACGCGCTGGATGCACGCGTGGGGGGCCTGCATGCCTGGCCATCGAAAGACCGCGCACCGGCACACGCACATCCGGACACGTGTACCCAGCTCTCTCCCAGGACGGGCGAGCAACGCGTACAGTCGGGGCGTTGACCTAAGGAACCCTAAATAAGGAACGAGGCCCCTTGATCCCAAAAGTTACGCTTCGATTTCCCATCGAATACCTAAGGAAAACCCAAGCCAAGCTGTTCAACAATCAAGGAACACCGAGCCCCTCCCCAAAGAGAAGGGTTCCTTCTTCAGCGACCTGACTGTACCCAGTTCTCTCCCAGGACGGCCGAGCAACGCGTGCCCAGCCTCCCGGCACATACCCTATGTGACATTGGAAGGGCGGAGGCATCTGGTCCCTCCCAGCGGCTGCCCAATCCAGACCACCCCGGATGTCGTGCCTGGTTCACCACCACGGCCCACGTGGATCAGCTTCTCGCAGCGGTTTACTCCTTGACGGCCCTGGGGCCCGAAAAAGGGCGCCCGAGGCCTCAAATCGCGAAGTCCAAGAACTCGCGCCCGTCGCTTTTCTGCCGTGACGCCTGAACCCAGGGACGACCGACGACGACGATGACGACGACGACGACGACGACGACGACGACGACGACGACGACGACGACGACGACGACGACGTTGACGACGACGACGACGACGACGACGACGACGACGACGCCGACGGCGACGCCCACGACGACGCAAATGACGCCGACGACGACGACGACGTCGACGCCCCGACTCGGACGACGACGGCGATGACGACGCCAACGACGACGACGACGACGACGACGACGACGACGACGACGACGACGACGACGTTGACGACGACGACGACGACGACGACGACGACGACGACGCCGACGGCGACGCCCACGACGACGCAAATGACGCCGACGACGACGACGACGTCGACGCCCCGACTCGGACGACGACGGCGATGACGACGCCAACGACGACGACGACGACGACGACGACGACGACGACGACGACGACGACGACGACGACGACGACGACGACGACGACGACGACGGGCGGCAGCGCCGGCATGCGCGGCGGCGCCTCCGACGGCTTCGGCTGGTACCACCCCGGCTGCTGGCGCCGCTGCCCCCCCGACGGAGAGCGCCCGCGGCCGCCTCCAGGCAGGGCGGATGGGGCGGCGCCCCGCCGGCTCTCATCCTCTGGCCCTCAATCCCATTTTTCATCGTCTTTCTTTTCCTCCTCCTCCTCCTCCTCCTCCTCCTCCTCCTCCTCCTCCTCGTCCTCCTCCTCCTCCTCCTCCTCCTCCTCCTCCCCTCCCGGCCCCGGGCGGAGCCCCCCGCCGCGGTGGCCCACGAGGGCTTCGCACCGTGCCCGAGATTCCGCCGCCCTGCTCGGCCTGCCTGCCCCTGCCCTCGGCGACGCGCTGCCGGAGGGCCCGCCGGCGCCCGTGCAGAGGACGACCTCGGGGACCTTCGGGCGCGCCCCGCTTCAAGCGGCAGCGGGTCCAACCGCGGTGGACCGCCTGCACAAAGTGGGCCGCGCGGCCTGCGACTGCAGAGAAGTCCCGCAGGATAGTGGCCCGAGGTCGGGCCAAGATCTGCGCGGCGCGCTTGTTGGTGTGCCCCCCCATCCGGGCAGATCGCCGTGATCAGAGTTTCGGTGGGGGAGGGGAGGAGGAGGAGGAGGAGGAGAAGGAGGAGGAGGAGGAGGAAGATCGCACCCTAGGCATACGGCATGTGGTGCCGCTTTCACGGAGAGCCCGAAGGCCTTCACCCGCCTCGCGACCTCGCAAGCGCCCTGAAACTTTGTGCACACAACTACGCTCTTTGGCGAGATCTCGAGTCCAGCCTCCTGCATAGTGCGACATGTGCCCACTAAACAGCTGACCAGTTGCCTGCGCATGCTCTGTCTGGAGCATGTGACCGATTGGCTGAGATCGTCCAGCCACAGACGCTGCGACATCCGAACATGCGCAGTGGTGAGCTTCTGCATGATGCAACACGTGGCACATTTGGCAAACCGAGTGCCTCCTCGGAGCCCCTGCACCACCGAACGAAGCGGTGCGAACGGCCCCGAATACGCGCCTCCCTGCCGCAGGCAGCGAGCCGACATGCAATGCAGCATATCCAGGCCCAAAACTTCGGCTGAGAAATATAGCCGCATGGCTCCCTTGCCGAGCTGCAGCCAGCCGATGGAATCACAGAAATTGCGGATGTCGAGGAGCCCGTTGCCGCGATGCATCTGTAGCCTGGCAGCGAGCTCCTCGCCGATCGATATGAGACAGACTTCCCGAGCCGCTGCGTCACCCTTGATGGCTGCGCCCCAATAGGCCTCGCAGCCTGAAGTCCACTGCTTGACTTGCCGCTCACGCGCCTGAGCCCATACCCTGGACAAGCGTGGAAGAAGTCCGATGATCCTGTCTCCAGCGACCTTCTTGGGAAGGAGAGTGCCGATGGCGAGAAGAACCTGATGTGGCCAAGTTTGCGCGACCTCGCAGACCGCGCACCCGACGTCAAGAACTGTGCGTTCTGGCAAGGCTTCGCAGCGCACCCTGTCGCGCATCGCATCACATATCGCTAAGTTCAGCCTGTTGACCATTCACAAAAAGCTGGGTGCCCATGCCCGCTCCGATTCGTTACTCTTGAAGTCCATGATGTCCTTGGGATGTGCCAGGATCTGACCATTGATCTGGGCGTCGCGCACCTCTGGCTGGGGATCCTTCAATTTTTTGGTGAAGGACCCCGATGGAAGGTGCCGTTTCCGCCCATTCCCGATATTCCATCATAGCTCTGCCCAATGCCCGTCTCTGGCCACGACTAGCCAATCTGTCGACTGCCTGCGTACTGACATCAAGCTGAGCCAAAGATACACCCTGAAGATTCCTAAGCAGTGGCTGCCAATGACTCCAGTCAAATCTGTCGGCGGGCCGGATAATCTGCCCCGCCTGAAACGGCACGTCGCCCAGGAGGTCGCGGCCCACGTGAAATTGAACGCCACGTTGCTCGCGACTGCCCGCCCGTTGAAGATTTCGCGCAATACTGCTAATAAATGCGCTGGCCCGTGCCCACCAGTCGCTGTTCCTGTCGCGAAGAGGCGCCAGTCGAGAAAGGGTTCCTTGACGCACGACGCTCCAGATGGGACCTGCCGACGATGCGCAAATATGGGGGCCTCCACGGTCCGGATCCAGCCGGCGCGCAAACCTGCAAGCAAACCTGAACCGTTTGAGCCGAGGTGGTAGGCTATGGAACGAACGATGGCCTCGGAGGGAGGGCACTGGGTGGCTGAGCTGAAGCCAATCCGAGCTCTTCGTTCCTTCCACACATCGCCGGGCACAGAAAACCGGGGGGCCGCGCCAACGTTTCGGACTGCCCCCGGGGAGAAGACCCCTGGACGGCGATGCTCGGGGAGGTCGGAAGGTCGGGGGGGGTCCGGATTAGCTTGGAACTTTGTGATGTTCGACTGTCTGACTGACTGATTCTCCACTGGCGAGAGACAAACGAAAGCAGGAGCGGCTGGGAGCAGGTTTAAACGCCGCCTCGTCCGCCCAGGTGTCTTCCTCCGAGAAGCCGCCCCAGTCGTCGCCTGAGCAGACGGGCTCGCCGCCTTCCTCGCAGAGAGCGCCCGCGTCGCTGAGGGCGGGCGGGGGCTGAGAACACGGAGGAGAAGAAAGACCATGGTGCGATTGTCAGACTCACCCCGCGCGCCCTCGCAACCGCCCTGAACAGGAAACCAGGAGAGGATGCGTTCTTCGCGCGCCCGCTTGGCCTCCAACCTTGAAATGGCCCGCTCCTGTTTTCTGACACTAGACATGGAGCCAGGTGTAGCCCGCCGCTCAGGTCTGCTGACTACAGGCAAACGGGCAGGCAAATCAAGATATCGAGTGATCAACCGAGAGCCAGACGCGACGATGGAGACGCTGAGACCGATATGAGGTCCCCAGGGCACATCGGCAACAGCAACAACTCGGCGCACGAACGGCATCGCTGCATGACTGACTACAAGATAGTCGAGATGGCTGGGCTTCTCCCAACCACCTGGAGTACACGTGAACTGAGCACCGGAGCTCGCAATCCGCCCTCCGACTCTATCTAGCCATCCTGAGCATCGCGTACTTTCCGGAGAGAGATTCCAGTCCGCGGCGGCGATCCAAAGAATCTGAAGGGCACTGAGCAAGCACCCGGTCCTGCGAAAACGGCCCAGGTTGGCTCTTCGGAGCCCGAGCCCCGAGTGCCCGCAAAAAACTGAACAAAGCCAATGAGAACCCACGCATATGCCACACGACTGGCACAAAACCGTCGTACACGGAACTGCCTTCAGCTGAGAGTGGGCCTGCGCGGGCAGCATCTAGATACTGAACAAGCCTATGATTGCGAGTGAGAACCCACTACCCCCCTTCATCCTGAAATTAAATGTCACTCGCAGGCGATGTGTTCCACTGGGACTTCGGACGAGCTGGACTGGCGAAGAGCCTCGTGGATGAAAACCGTGCCTGCAACGCCCATGAAGGAAGAGCTGCCTTCCCGACGTGCGTCTCGCACACGGCCAAGTAATCGTGCATCTGGGACTGGGCCTCGAGACAGTTCCAGGCCTTGTCACCCATGCACGTCACGCTGCTGAAGACAATTTTCGTCTCGCCAGTGTCGCTGACGTGCTCGAGGTGCCGATTCGCCGCAGCGCCGTCGGCTCCCACGTCTAGTCACTCAGGCTGGCTCGGCGCGGCCGCGGCGCCCTGCGAGACCCTCGGCGCGGGCGGGGCAGCGGCGCCAGCTGACTTGGCTGCAGGTGGGGAGCCCCCTTTGCCAGCCGCCTTGGCCGCCGCGAACTTCGCCGCCGAGATGCGCTGCGCCTCCTTGTTCAGGTCCTCGTCGGCGTCCGCTGGCACGGGCGTGGCTGCCCCTGCTGACGGGCCCTGGGCGGCCGCGGCGGGCGCTGGCGCGCCTGGCTTGGCGCTCGCCGTGCCGGGCGCCTCTGCCGCCTTGGCGCCACCGCTGCCGCCGCCTGCCACGACGTCGCCCTCCTGCGATGTCTTCCGCTTCTTGAGCATCCTGTCGCGGACGTCCTTCTCCGCCTTGGCGACCTTCTCGAGGAAGGCTTTCAACTCGGCACCTTTGGATTCAAAACTCTGCTTCCACCCTTCGAGCTCGGACTTGAGCTGGCGAAGGGCAACCTTGTCGTTCTCCTCGACGTACCACTCCTCGAAGTGGTCAAAGAGTTCGCTGCTCATCTGAATGCTGATGGTGGGCGTCGTCCCTGCAGCAGCCGTGCTGCTGGCGCCTGTGGCGGGCTGTCCTTGCTGCTGGACGCCTTCTGCCTTTGGGGGCGCCTCGGCGGCCGCCCGCTTGTCACGTTCTGCTGCCGCCAGCCCCTGGGCCGCGACCTTCTCCTTTCCCTCCGCATGCATCAGCTGCGTGCGGAGGCGCAGCACCTGCGTCACGAGCTGCGAGTGCTTGTTGCTGGCGGCCCTCCACGCACCGTCAGCTCGCTTGACTTGGTCTGCCGCAGTCTCCCCCGACTGCTGTGGCAAGGCTGCGAGCTTCGTGCGCTAGGCCTCCAAGAAGGCTCGCATCTCCCGGTCCTCGGTTTTCGCCAGCGCCTGCTCGAGGAGGTGGTCCAACTGTGAATGCCCACTGGCGCCGCGAGACTTGCGACCTCCTGGGCTCCTCGTCGTCCTGGCAGGTGCGGTAGCACTGCCCTGACTGCTGTGTTCCCAGTCCGACTCGTCTTCGAAGCGCACCTGCCGAGCGTCTCGCTCGGGACCATGTGGCCTGAAGAGCTTATTGAAATGGGCCTGACAGTGCTGGCATTGCATCTTCTGAACTCTGATCTTGCCATTCTACTCGCATGACTGGCAGTTCCCGCAGCGCGTCCACGGTCTGGATTTCGCCTGCGGCGTTGCCATGGCTCCCTGCTTTCGCGGAAGCTTGTGCAATGGGCGGTAGCACAAGCAAACGTACTCAAGCACCACGTTAAGGTACAGGGATCTGGCGTGAGATGGGTGCGTTCGTGAGAAACCCGAAACTCCCTAAAGAGTCCCCCAGGGCTCACCCTCAAGCCAGAGTGGCTTGAGGGAGGAGGAGGGGGAGGAGGAGGAGGAGGAAGAGGAGGAG